CTCTCTCTCTCTCTCTCTCTCTCTCTCTCTCTCTCTCTCTCTCTCTCTCTCTCTCGCCTGTCTTCATGTCGTGGATTGATGAACGCGAATCGCGTGTAAGCGCCGCCACCGCCGGGAGTCTGAGGAATTCGCCTGGGCTGTTAAAGGAAAGAGCTAAGTGAGAGAGCGCGAGCTCTACCTACCGACAGTGAAGAGAGAGCCGCCGCCGCCGCCGCCGCCCGCCGCCGCCGCCCGCGCCCCAGACCCAGGAGCTCAGCACAGAGGCGCCCCCCACCTGCCCAGCCCCCAGCCCACCAGTCCAGGGGCACCAGACGGCCTGGGGTTCGGTCCCGGGGGGAGGGGAGTTTCGGGGGTACCGGGCGGGGGAGTCGTGAGCCAGAGGGGAGGGGGCCGCGGGTTTTCATGTGCCCAGCATGAGCTCCTACTTCGTCAACCCCCTGTTCTCCAAATACAAAGGCGGCGAGTCCCTGGAACCGGCCTATTACGACTGCCGGTTCCCTCAGAGCGTGGGCAGGAGCCATGCGCTGGTGTACGGGCCCGGCGGCTCGGCGCCCGGCTTCCAGCACGCCTCGCACCACGTCCAAGACTTCTTCCACCACGGCACCTCGGGCATCTCCAACTCGGGCTACCAGCAGAACCCGTGCTCGCTGAGCTGCCACGGAGACGCTTCCAAATTCTATGGCTACGAGGCGCTCCCCAGACAGTCCCTTTATGGGGCTCAGCAAGAGGCGAGCGTGGTGCAATATCCCGACTGTAAATCCTCCGCCAACACTAACAGTAGCGAAGGACAAGGCCACTTAAATCAAAACTCGTCTCCCAGCCTCATGTTTCCATGGATGAGACCCCACGGTGAGAAGCCTTTTCTCTTTCCCCCTTGGTCTCCCGCGCTCCGGGGTCTTCCCCCCTCCTCCCTCGCCTCCTTTTTGTCTGCCTTCGCTTTCCCTCCTGGCTTTGGGGTCTCTCCTGCTTCTCCACCCCACCCCCACCTCACCCTGTGCCTGGGTGGGTTTCTCCAGGTTGGGAAGGTGCGGCTGGGGATGGATCGTGGGGCTCCTAGGACATTTGGGGGACTGGAGTGAAGGTGGGGGAGAAAGGTGGTGGCTGGGTGTAAAGGGTTAAAAACCGTTTTCTCCATCTGTCTCCCTCTTTTTTTCTGTCTCTCCCTTTCCCCATCTCTAAAGTCAAAGTAGAGGACATTGTTGGGAAGGGGCCCCAGCACCTTTCTTTGGAGAAAATTAGTTATCCACTGGGCAGAGCCTGAGTCCAGGGTAGTATCCAGACTTTTTTGGGGTGAAGGAACACCTCTGTTTCCTCCTCTTCACTGAGTCAGAGAGTGGCAAGAGCCCAGTGACAGGTGTTCTGGCTCTTTGGGGTACCCACTGCCCCCTCTCAGAGACTAGCTTGAGGGCCACTACCCCTACTTTGCTTTACTTCTCTCCAGTTGGAGAGAAGACAAGGAGCAGAGAGGAAGAAAAAAGAGTGCTTGGAAGGAGAGGCCATGCAGATTAGGGGGCTCCGAGGTTCAGAGGACCCTGGCAAAGCTTCCTCCAATCAAGGGCTTGTAGGGTCTCCCTGAGACCCTCAAAAGGAACTCAGGTCATGAGCCCCCTTCAAGGGCAGCACTCCGTGGCCCAATTTCGAAGTAAAAGGGGAAAGGAGAAAGAGACAAGTTCCAGCGGGTATGGCCAGTGATTTATTTGCTGGTCTCCAGTTAGCCATCAGGCAGAGCAGTGATACATTCCAAGAGATCAATTATTTTTCTTATTGGAAACGCATTAGGCAGAGAGGTGAGGAAGGGGCAGTGAGCAGTGTCCCCTTCTTCTTTACCCTCAGCTTTTTTTCTTTCTTTCTTTTGGAAATACTCTGTTCCAAGCCCTGTTATCCAAATGCTACCCTGCACTTGTAAACAAAGCTGCAAGGGCCAGTTCCCTGGGATTGCAGGCCTAGGGAACTCTGCAGGGCTCTCCTGGCCCCTGCTACCCCCCCAGTTTCCAGACAGACCCCAGCCTCTGTCTCCACCCTCATCCTGCCTCCCAAGGTGAAGCCAAACCAAAACAATCCCCCAAACTTTCCTGCCCTTGCCTGCTTTCCACCCTCTTCTTTTCTGAAGGAGGGAGGGGAACTCAGAGAGAGAACTTTAGGGAAACCCGAACACCCACCCAAACATAACCAAACTGGGGTTCTGTTCTGCCAGCTCCGGGGCGGCGCAGCGGACGGCAAACTTACAGCCGGTATCAGACCTTGGAACTAGAAAAGGAGTTTCTCTTTAACCCTTATTTGACACGAAAGCGCCGGATTGAAGTCTCTCATGCCCTGGGACTGACCGAGAGACAAGTGAAGATCTGGTTCCAGAATAGAAGGATGAAGTGGAAAAAGGAGAACAACAAGGATAAACTTCCTGGAGCCCGAGATGAGGAGAAAGCAGAGGAAGAAGGAAATGAGGAAGAGGAGAAAGAAGAGGAGGAAAAGGAAGAAAATAAGGACTAAGCAAAAAAAAAAGAGAGAGAGATTTTCCCCCTTTTAGCAACTCCCTTGAAGTTTTGTTTTATGGTAGCGGATAAATTGAGAAGTTTACGACTGTCATTTGCTTTTATAGAGAATAGAATGACACTCACAACTCTAACTACCTGTCAGATACTTGCAGCTCTGGTTTTATTACCTTTGGACTTCCCCTGCTCTTTATTTGTCTGGGGGCTGAATGGGGGAGACCAAGACACAGCGAAAAAGAAAAGTTCGGATTCTGTCTCAGTCCTTGCCCCCAACACACACACTTGCCCCTACCCCCACCCTTGTGAGTCCTTCCTGGATTTTAAGGTTTGAGACCTGGCCTCTAGCCTCCTACCCCCTCATCCCCTTCTTGCCACACTCCTACCTCCTCCCTTTTTCTCTAGTATTTATTTTGGAGAGGAGCCCCCTTAAAATGCTGAAGAGCACCCGTGGCTTTGTTTTGATGCTAGGATTCGCTTATTAAATTTACTTCTTCTTTCTTTTTTTTTTTTTAAAGAAAGGGAAGGAGAAAAAGAAGAAAGTCAAGGAAATATTACAAAGAAATAAGAAAATGATAGCAAGGAATATCTCCCCACGGGGCTTCCCGCTTTGAATGACATGCTTGACTTTCTTTAGGAATCTGATGAAAACCTGAAGGAGACAGGTCTCTCCACTCCCCCCACCCCCCTTTTAAGGGGGTAGATAGGAGACAGTAGTCTCCTCTCAAATCCTACCTAGCCATCCCATGGTCACTTGGGCCCAAGCCTTCCTCTCTTTTGCTATCTGATTTCTGTTCTGTTGGACCCACTTCCTCTGAGCTGCATTAGTATTTGTGCTCAGAAATCACCATAATCATGAATAATAATAATAATAATAATAATACTGATAATAAATCTTTAACATACTACCTAAAGGGAACCTGCAATAATCTTGAGGGAAAAAAAAAAAGAGAGAGAGAAAAATCCTAATACAGGAGAAAAAAAAATGAAAAAATTTAAAATTAAAAAAAAAAAAGGAAGAAACCTATCAACGTATTTTATCTATAGAAAGAAATCCTGCTTTGAGAGTATTCGTAATGCAGTTTTGTTGTCGTTTGTTGCTGCTTATTTCACTAAGAAAAACCCAACAACTGAGACTGCCTAGCCCGCTGGTCCTGTGCGCTTTTATTGTGCTTCTAACCCCAGTAGAGTAGAACGAAATTGCACTGAATGTATAGTTAACTCTCTGTCTTGAATTCTCTGTTTATGCAATGTGCTCGAAAGAAAAAAAAAAAAAAAACGTTAAAAATATATCTATAATAATTTTTGGTCATTTGTCTTTATGTCCAGCTATGAATGTAGATTTTGTGTCCCAACAGCCCTGTTCCTGGTCCAAGTACTTTGTATTGTATACGTGAGTCATAATAAAATTTAAAAAAAGGAGAAAAACATATTTGAAGCTGGAATGACTTGTCTTCTCTCTGTTGCCCATTCCGTCCGTCTCTACCCTTTGCTATTCTGTCTCTACTCTAGAAAAGGCCTCCTCCATGGTCTGACTTTGGGGTGAGGGGAAACTCATGTGAAGAGTGTCCTGTGAGTTGAGATGGCAGACTGGGCTGGGAGGGCAGGTGAAAAGGAGAAGGAGTAGGAGAAGCCTGTTCAATTCAGTGCTGGGGAAAGGAGGAGTATATCAGTTTGTTCTTGGGGAAACCTTGGCTCCAAACAAAGTGGGTTTCTCAATGACAGGGCCTCAATGAGAAGAAAGCTTATACCCTCCTCCTCCTCCTCAGCTCTGAGCTGGGCCCAGACAAAGAATCTGTCCTATAACCCTCCTGAAAGCTAGGAGTTTTTCTTCCAAGGGCTGAGGATGAAGCAGTAGGGGCCTTTCTGATCTCCACAGTCTCTGGGTATCCAGTGCCTAGTCCTAGAATGGTGAATAGGGTTCAAAGCAGCTGACCTGTCTAGAGGGTTTGAGGATGCCTAAAGGTGAGGAATCCTAAGAGTGAAATCCAGGAGATTTAAGACTGAGGGTGAAAAGAGGATAAGGGAAAGGTAAATGAGTTGATGAACCAGCCAGCCTAGGACCAAATCCTAAAACATGGCCCGTACAGAGCCATCACTGTCACCCAGTCAGAATGTCCACCCCTGTCCTTATTCCTGCTATTCTGAGCCAACCAGGGGTTTCACCTTGACAATTGGGTATCCTGCCCAGCCCTGCCCGCATAGTTCCTGCCATTGGCCTGGTGGGGAGGGGGAGGGTTGGCTACTGAGTGGACAATCCCCCATACAGACACACAAACACGCAACCACTACAGAGTCTGGGGAAACTCCACTGAACTCCTCATCCTCCAAAATAACGGTTGAAGGTTCAGGAGCCCAGGGGGCTAAAGGGTCTCTCACTTCTCTCTGGAGAGTCCTAAACAGAGAAATCTGTTTATGCCAATGAGATTCTGGTCAAATAATCCCAAATTCCAGAGATACACGTCGTCTGACTCAGCCAGGAAAGGGGGTAAGGGGAGGGGTGGGGATCTTTTGTTTTTAAAAACCAGACTCCCAAAGACTGAAATAATTTTGTGGCTAGATTTTTTTTTTTTCTTTTTCTGTATTTCTCCCTTGGTCAATGATTTCCCCAGACCTAGGCCCAGACAGACTTTTGTGTAATTTCACCCGGGAGAATCCGGGGGCTTCCTCACAAAGTGGACCTAAATAGGACTGGGTCAGGCGCGGCTGATAGAAAGGACACTTGCCATCCGCTGGAGGCTTCAGATTGGCATCGTAGGCTGCAGGCAACCGGGGACAGCTTTGAGCAGGAGCTCCCAGGAAATATTTTGGAACCTGGGGTCTGTGTTGTGAATGAGCGATAGCCAGGTAAGGCTACCCATCTGGGAGGCCTGAAGAGAGAACATTTCTCTCCAGTCCAAGGCCTTCCCACGGGCGTCGCCTCTAGAATCCAAGGGCCGGCGGAGCTGTTTCATTTTTAAATGCGGGATTACCACTGCTGCTAATAAAAATATCTGCTTCAGTATCCAAGGGGAGCGAACCCTGGAACCCTACATTAAGTGGCTCTAGTGGGCCTCACCGTTATTTTCCCACACCGACTGTCCCATTCATCCCTGGCCCTGCTCAGCAATGCCCGTGGCCCCAAGTCCGGCGCGTCGGAGGGCGGGGTGCGTCTGACGCCCTGCATCGCTGGAGATGCGGCTTCAGGGGAGCCAAGCAAATGAACCCCAACCACCCTCTCTTGAAGCACCCGTTTCCCCGCCCCTTCTGCCCACAGCCTCCGTTTTCTCGTTTGGAGAGAAAGGAGGTAAAAACCTGTTTTATGAGGGAACGTAATTGCGAGCGGGATGCGCTGTCTTTGGAAACGCGTCCTCCCAAATGCTCCCGCCATCCCATTACCGGAATGGGGATCATTCGGCTGCAGCAGATAGGACTTTCTCCCATTCTTCACTTTTTTATTAGCCAATCAAAGTGGCTTCCGAAAGCTATTTGTGATTTGTGAAAAATAGTATCTTTAAAAGTGCTGAGTTGAAGCATCTCGCTCATTTCGCCTAGAATTTATTATTCTAATCTCAACCGCAGAGACAGAATAACGCAGCTATTAAGTTTGGGGGCAAATTCGTTTCTCTGTATATATATATTTTTTATTCCTTGGCATTTTCTCTCGCTCCTGCTCCCTCATTGCAGAGGCCGCGGGAGTCGGAGGCCTGATGAGATCTGGAGCCAAGGAAGGTAGTGAGCATCCTGAAGGATTCTTTGGGAGGACTCCGGTGGGAAAGAGCATTGGCCTCCCCAGCCTTGCCTTCCCCAAATGAGGTGCCCCGCCCGGCGACTGCCTACTGGCTGGGGAAAGTTACCTCGTCCCCAGTTAGAGCTGTGCCAATTAGGTTGTGCCACAGACTAGAAGTAAAATTTCCGGTGAGTTGCCCGCAGAGCTGTCCCATTCTCCCCACTGCCCATTGTGAAAAGCCGGGCCAACGCTTCCTCCTCGTAATTTTTAACTACCTGTTATAAAATTTATGGGTGGGTTTGTAAAAGGAACGAGGTCCCTGCATCCGGCTGAGGGAACAGCTTCCCTAACTGTGGAGGAAGTTTGGGGAGGGGTGAGGGATTCTCTGTTGTTGGGGTGGGAACACCTACTCATTGAAGTCCCTTGCCCATGCGATGCCAAAGCTCAGGCCACTGGGCTGATACCCTTTAGCAAATAGTCTCTATGAGGAATTAATTTATTCTGAGCTCCCTCATACTGAATTCACCACCAAAATTAGGGGTCTGGAATAGCGGGGTGTTCAGAACTTTAGCACGAAATGCAACTCAAGGCAAGAAAAGGTTCATTTTTCAGGGCCTGGGAGAGAGAGGTCCCAGCGGCCCAGAAACTGAAGTAAATCTTTTTTTTTTTTTTGTCTGAAAAAAGGCAGGCGGGTATAGGCAACCTGGAAAAACCAAAAAGATTTCGAGCTGTCTAGGAACCCCAAAGGAAAAAGAAATATAACCAAGATTTGGGGCTTTAATTTATTTCTAATTCTAAAATGATTGGGAGTGATTTGCTGTTTGAATTTAGGAAATGAGGAGACACAATATTGAGGACCGTCGTGGGGAGAATTAAATGCTCTCTGAAAAAGGAACCTGGGGATGAGGGGTGCTTTGGGGGTCCTGGAGGCTGCCTCCAATTCTCACCCCTTGCGCTGCCTTTACAGGACTACTTGGAGCCGCTCTAGCCCTCTCTGCTCGCCAGACCACGGCCAGGTCAGGCTTGGTTGGTAGGCTGCAAGCGCTCTGACCCTCCCATTGCCATCTGGGGTGGGGTGAAATGCTGCAGGGACATCCTGGTCTTGAGGATGTTGTTCTCATCCTAGAAAAAAAGATAAGGGTACAGAGAGTATCCCTTCTCAGTCCCTCCACCCTAGCAGTCAGCACTGCCCCCAATGCTACAGACCTTTGCAAAGCTTATGTTCCCCCAGATTCAACCTATGTCCTCAATTTATTTATATATTTATATACACACACACACACACACACACATATATATGTATGTATGTATGTATGTATACAATTCAGCACGAGGAGTGGCAACCGACCCCCATGCCAAAATTATTCCTTTCCTCCTTCTAAGCTTCTCCCTGCCCTCTCCGTCCTCGATTGGAGCGGCGCGGCCAGTGGGGAGTGGGCCGTGGGTGGGGGTCTGGTGGGGGCCTGGGGGCCGGGGGATGCTCCCTCTCCAAGAGAATTGGGTAAACATGGCGACCGCGGAGCCCATTTGCACACGCTACACAAATGCATCGCATTCCCGGTTGTTTGCAGAAAATTTACAGCTGAGTAATAAAAGTTTACGATCGACTCACAAGTTGGATTGGCCACAAGAAGTCATGTGGATTCCATCCATGAACGTGAACTTTTTATTGTGGTTTGTCCGTTCGGAGCGCTCCGCAGAACAGTCCTCCCTGTAAGAGCCTAACCATTGCCAGGGAAACCTGCGCTGGGCGCTCCCTTCATTACTATTTTTTTTTAATTAATCTGATTAATAATTATCCCCCCTCTTTAATTTTTTCCTTCCCAGATGGAGTTGCCGGAAGCTGGGGGCATCTGGGGAGGGTATGAGGGGGAGAGGCAGGAGTTGAGGGAATCTCTCTCCGTTCCCGTCCCTCTAGCCCCCAAAGGGGCAGGAGGAATGCGGGAACAGGAGTTGAGTTAGGGAGCTTCAATGCCTCCGCCCCTCCCCTCTCCCAGGCTCTCCCTCCTGCCCCCTTCTTGCAACTCTTTTAATTCGATTTGGCTTTTTGATGATTAGACTCTTTTTTATTTTAAAATTTATATAAAGTATACGTGTGTGTGTGTGTGTGTGGAGCTGAGACAGGCTCGGCAACGCCACAGAATGAGGAAAAAGGAGAAAGAGAGAGAGTAGGAGAGAGAGAGAGGCAGAGAGGGAGAGGGAGAATGACAGCAGCGCCCGGTAAGTGTTTCCTTATTGGTTCAAATATGTAACTAATGGTCCGTAGCTGGGTGGCGGTTTCAGGATAAAGACAGCAGCGGCTTGTCTTGGTTGGAGAGGAAAGGGGGCTGGCGGGAGGGTGGGCGCGTGGGCAATTGTGGGGTGGGGGAGTGGGAGAAAGGGAAAAGAGGTTAAACTAGAATACTGGGGCAGGGGTGCGAGAGGGTGTGGGGGTGGAGGTGGAATGTGTTATTCTGGTGTCACTGTGCGCCGAAGTTGGGGGTTAGAGGCAGGAGGACTGTGTCTCTGGGGCTCAAGGCCGCAGTTCTGGGCGCTGGCCCTCTGCCCGATGCTCACGGTGTGGTGTCCTTGGTACCTGTTTATTATAGATCTGTGGCCTTTGACTAATGGGATTGGGTCGGAGAGGACCCAGAAACTTAAACTCCAGGGCTAAAGAGAGAACCTGTAGTCTGTGTCCATTGACCCTGCAGCAAAGTCAGTCCCCGAACCCGCAAACAAACTTTCCAGTGCCCCCTCCCTGCTCTGCAGCCCCCTCCCTCCCGGAGAGCGCAACCGAGAGAACTCACACATGCGCAGTGCGGACCCTGGGCCGAGCCGCAGAGCAGGAAGCCAGCGCTGCTAGGCGGGCGGCGGTGCTTGTTAATTGGCAATTAGGGGGGAGGCTGGTGGCTGGTGCGCGTCAGCGAAGAAGAGAGCGTCTGCCCACCCCCTTTGCCCGCCCCCACCCGGGCTGGGGAAAGAGGGGAGGTGCCCAGTACTGCGGGTTGAGGCGTGGGGGTGGGGGATGCGTTACTCAAAAGCCATCTTGTGCTTGGAGAAACGGGGCCTTCCCTCCCCAGACCCGGCGCCCCCCCCCCGCGCCCCAAACCGCAGCCACTCCCAACAGGGATGGCCACGGGACTGCTTCCTCTGCGTCGCCCGGCCGCTTTGGGCAGGGACCTGTCCTGTCTGGGGTGGAGGTGCGCGCTGGGGAGGCCTCAGGCTGGGCGGGGACAGGCCCAGGCCTCGCTGGTGGGGCCTCCCGGTTGCGTGAAGGCCATGAGGACTCCTGGGGCTCCTGGCTCATGGGGTAGGGACTTCAGAATTGGGCGGCTTGGAAGGTCCTGGGCGCTCGGGATCCTCCTAATAATTGGTGCTAATGGAGTGTTGTATAGCCTTAACCCAACACATATGGTTTCATAACACAGTGTCTTAATTTCTTCCAAATGTACGTGGCCCTGAATGTGTTGCTGTTTGATATATGACCCCGCCCTGCTCCCCTGCCTGGGTCCTATATGTGTGAGCTTCTGTTTATAAAAGGGCGACGCACACACGTAAACGCTTACACACCCAGGCAGGCACACTTCAGAGCCCGGGGAGCGGGCGGGGCGCGGGGGGTGGGGGGAACTCTTATTCCTGGGGAGGTTCAAGAGTCGCGCTCACCTCTGTGTGATCCAAGCCTCCCCCAGTCCTCTCCCGGAGGCGCGACTGGGCTCCTATGCCTAGTCCCAATGGGGGAGGGGATCACTCCTCGGTTTCCTGTTTAAACCCTGACCGGTCGCCTTGTGTGTGTGGGGGGGGGCGGGGGGAGGAGAAAGAGATGGGAAAAAAAACCAAAACACGTTTTTATCAAATTCGTAACAATATATAGTTCTGCTTCATTCAAATCAAACCCCTTGGACAGTGAATCTTCCCTCCCTCCCCTTACAGCTTCCTTCTCCTCCTCTCCTGCCCCCCCAAAATTCCCCTTTCGTAGCCGACATAAAGGCCTCTGAGGTATTCTCCCCGGGGAAAAAATGGCATTTTCTCTCCCCCTTCCCGCCCCCACCCCCAATAGGACTTGTGTGTAGGCAGAGGCGTCTGCCGAGGGGCTAATTTCGCGTTCCTTGTTTACGATCGAGAAAAGCGCTTGGCTCTCCCCAAATGGGCCCAGCCCGCCGTCTGCTCCGGCTGCTGCGAGCTCTACCGCCGCTCCAGCGCGGCCCAGGGGCTGATGCTCTGGGGGAGCCAATCCGCGGACGGCCGGGACCCCAAGAGTCTGTGGGACCTAAAGAAGGGCAAGGGAATACGGTGGGACAGTTGGAGAGGCCCCCGCAGGGAGGCCCGGAAAATAGGAGCCTTTCTCCAGGCATAAAGTGGGAACCGCTGACCGGTGAGGCCTCTATTTCTCTCTTTTGCTGTTTTTGTTCACCCCCACCCACTCGGATGTCCACACTGACGGGTGTAGGTGTAGGGGGGGGCGCACAAATTTCCTTTGTTCACCCAGATGGGAAGTAGTTTCCTTAGAGGAACACTCAGGCCAGTGGGGATTCACCTGGGATATTATATTAGAGGGGCCCCCCTCCCTTCGGAGGGGCGGGCCTGGGAGAGGCTAGGGTATTTCTGCGTGTGCAGGGATCTAACTGAATATGCTGACGGTGAAATTTCGGGGTGCTAGGGTTCGAGGTTAAGGGGTTAACAGCGTCTTCCTGAGGCATCAAATCATATTTTTATTCATTGATTTTCTGTCCTTTCCTGACTTTTCTGCCCCTCAACCCCCCATCTTACTTGGCACCGTCACCCCCAGACCTATCCTCCGGAGATAGGAGACATAGCAGCAGTAATTCGTCCAGGTTTTCCAGGTTTCCAGTCTGGGCCCAAACACCAGCCCTCTGCTTCCCATTACTTTCACTTTTCTTTCTCTTCCTTCTCTCCCTTCTCTGGTGGATGCTCAAACAGAAGCAATGAGCCCGGGGCCGCCAGTGGCAACCCCAGCCTCCTTTCAGGCCACAGTCCTTGTAGATATAATCCTTACTACAGGCCAAGGCTGCTGTGATAGTCTAATAATATCCAGGGTAGCTGAGAATAGAATCTGGCTCAAAGACTCTGCACAGGCATGGCTGGAGCTGGGCAGAGATACTCAACTTTCTGCTCAGGTCCTGGCAATACTCCTGGAGCCCAAGAGCCCAGCATTGCTCTATGAACCCTCTCTGTAGGCACTGAAGGCCTACCCTTATGGGCTTTGTCAGCTCTGCCCTTCATTGTATTTCATGTGTTGGTTCATAACTAAGAAGAAATGGGCAGAATAAAACCCTTTCTCACTCTGATCTGACGGTTGTGATCTTCATGGAGAATGCAACTTTTCTTGGAGAAGGTGATTTTGTTGGTCTGGTTGATATGTTTAGAAAGCAGGCTCTGTAGCTTTATGTATTTATTATATACAGGCTCAAATGTACAGTCTAAGACTTATGCATGAATATATACAGATTTGTATTTCCTTCAGTGGTTAATTGTATATTACCATAACTATATTCACTCAAACACCGTTGTTTTATGTGCATGGGAAATTTTGTTAGCCTTCCATAGATGCAAGTGGGCTCCTGGAGACCCTGAGTCCACCAAAGGAGACCATTCTGTGTATGCTTTGCTGGAAATATGTATGTGTTGTGATCTGAGGATGCGGGTTCCGGTAACCAATGGATGTCACAAAGGCTTTCTCAGACCTTATTCCTTTGCTGTCCAAGCAGCTGCGTTGAATAAATATCAAATACCTTCTGCTTTCTCTCCATGCCTCCCTTTAAGATTCCCCAACTCAGATATTGTTATGCCTGGGAAATGCAGTCTTATTATAAGTAAATTCTGTGGGAAACTCACTTGTGGGCACCCTGGACCAACCAGCAGTTCTGAGCAGTCAGGACTCGGGTCCTGGTGCTGGAAGTCTTCCTGAAGCGGTAAAGGGGATATTGGAGTGGTTAATAAGGTGGCCTCTGGGTAGTGGTCTGGGGGACCTGCTGACCAGGGGGCCTTGGAAAGGTTGTTGGACAAGGCAAGCCAGAGAGTGCGTTTCTGCCCTTGTGCGCCCTGGAGGGGCAAATTAGTAAGGTTCTCTAGATGCCCAGATCTGGTTACCGATGGGAGTAAGTTTTAATCCTCTCCACCACCTGAGTGAGGGTGAGTTGAGGCGAGGCGGGGAGAAGGCTGGCCACAACTGTGCAAGAGACGGAACTAGGCCAGCCGCTGTGGGCCTGGAGCGCTGTGTACGAACGAAGGTTGGGAATGAATTGGGTTCCCCCCCAACCTTTCTCCCTTCGGGGACCATGAAAAAACAAAGCAGAGGTGAAATATAAATGTCAGTGGAAAACCCCATAAAAGAAAGCAAGGCCAGAGCAGGACTGGAGGGGTTTTCCGCCTCTCCCTGGGAGATCAGGTTCCTCTCCGGGACTGCGTGTCTAGGCACGCTGCGGGAGCGAGGCGCGCAGCTCTCTTCCACCTTCACTCCTCCGGCACTGGGAGCAATCTCAACTTTCCGGTCTCCGCTACCGGGGAAGCTGGGGTGAGGATATCCCCAAACTGTGCCCTCACCCAGGCCCACACGTCCTCAGCCACGGTGCCCCAGCCGTCTCTGTTTATTGTGTCTGTGAGTTGTTTACTTGTTTTGTCTGCTGCCACCCTGCGTCAGAAACCCGCCAAACCAGCAAACTCGCCGGGAGAACAAAGTACAGCGCGATCCTGAACTCCCTCCCCTTTTCGGGCACCCCCTTCCCGCCTTTGCCTCCTCCCTCATTTTCCCTTTCAGAGGGAAGGAAGCAGAAATTGTCCTAAAATAAGGCAGTTGTTTATAGGGTCAGGGAAATCATGGGGACACCATAAACCTCCAGGCGCCTCTGTGGTGGAAAGTCTTATAGCAGCTCTCCCCTTGCCTTAACCTTTCTTCCTTCCCTCACAGCCATTGAGAAAGTTGAGCCTCCACCCCCACCCCACTCTCCACTCCTGTAGAAATCTTCCTGATTCACAGGTTGTTGGGTTTTAAATCAGGATCGTGTTGGCAGATTCATAAAGCTAGATAAAGCATGTCGCTCTCTCCCAATACTTTCCTCTCTTCAGTCCCCCAAAATAGCAGTGAATTTAAGCAAATCCTACAAAATTGAATTGCCCCTTTGCTAAAGATCCTATAAATCTCCAGTCCCACCAGGTGTAGAGTCAGAGAGGCCACTGTTTGCCCTTAATTTTGCTTCTGGCTATCAAATCTAAAAGAGTATCAT